ACAAAGAGGTGTGTTGAAAATAAGCTGAGTGCTCGGGACTGGCAAAGTGCAGCAAGACAAGCACACTCACACCCTGACAGTGGGACACAAAGTCAACGCCGCACCATCAAGACCTTGAAGGTTCACACCCCGCCAGCTCAGACTTCACCTTTTAGACCCTCCCCAGGGAAACAATCACGGCTAGAGAAAAGGACTCATGTATAAAGGGTGCTTTGTTGCAAGGTTACTTACGATGGTGATACAGAGTCTGAATGCCCAACACTGAGGGAGTAATAGTTAAATTAAAGATGAAAACTCATATCATGAAATAGGATGAAACCACTAAAATCTCCCAGCTTTGAAGATTAGCGTGTTGTGAGACCATTCCCATGTCCCTCAATCACATTAAGGGAAACACACCAAGCCTGTGAAACTATATATAACATTTTCCCTGATCTTGAATGACTGAATAAATAAACCAGGTATACAAAAGGGGCAGAAACAAAATAAGCTAATATTGGCTAACTTAGTGATAAGATTATGAGTTATTCACATTGTATTTTTATTTTTATTTTACATTTTTTATAATTTTTTTTAACCGTGAATATCTAGAACTTGAAAACTCAGGAAAATAACAAATGGTGACAAATAAGGAAAGAATTAACTCATGGAATGAAAAAAAAATTAACAGTCAACCCTACTAAAGGCTTTCCAAAAACCAAAAACCAGTCTAGAACGCTTTCCACACACACTCTATTTTTCTTTATTTCTCACGAGCAACCATGATGCTCAGGCTCCATTCCTGTCTAAAGAAACGTAACCAGGCTGGGCGCAGTGGCTCACACCTGCAATCCCAGCACTTTGGGAGGCCAAGGCCGGTGAATCACGAGGGCAGGAGTTCGAGACCAGCCTGGCCAAGATGGTGAAACCCTGTCTCTACTAAAAATACAAAAATTAGCTGGGCACAGTGGCAGATGCCTGTAATCCCAGCTACTCAGGAGGCTGAGGCACAAGAATCGCTTGAACCCGGGATGTGGAGGTCGCAGTGAGCTGAGATGGCGCCACTGCACTCTAGCCTGGGCAACAGAGCAAGACTGTCTCAAAAAAAAAAAAAAAAGACAAGAAAAGAAAAGAAAAAGAAAAAAGAAACACAACCAGAGCAGCTTTGCAAGGTGGACCTGGGTTGTGCCTGGGCCTCCCGAGCCTATCCCTCACCTGGAGCTGCTCTTCAGCTCCCGGTTTTTTTTTTTTGTTTTTTTTTTTTTTGAGGTGGAGTCTTATTCTGTCACCCAGGCTGGAATGCAATGGCGCCATCTTAGCTCACTGCAACCTCTGCCTCCGGGGTTCAAGCAATTCTCCTGCCTCAGCCCCCTGAGTAGCTGGGACTACAGGCGTGTACCACCACACCCAGCTGATTTTTGTTTTCGTTTTTGTTTTTAGTAAATACTGGGTTTCACTATATTGGCCAGGCTGGTCTCAAACTCCTGGCCTGAAGTGATCTGCTCGCCTCAGACTCCCAAAGAGCTGGGATTACAGGCATGAGCCGCTGCAACCAGTCCTAGCCACATCCTTACTTCCCCATCTGCAAACAGGCATAGCCCTGCTTGATCTAATTAGAGAAGTACTGTTTTCTTATTTTTTGTAGTATTAAAACACACACACACACACACACACCCCTCAAACTATCTTTCACACATACATAGTGACACTTCTTACACACAATGGATATCTATTATTGGAATTTGTGTTTTCATAGATCCCAGCACTATGAACACTGTGTCCCTTTATAAAGGGTTTCTAACATTTCCAGTTTACTTGGTTGTTTTCATTGCCAGTGTCAAAAATGGTCTGTTTATACTCCCCAGTTTTGTTGCCTAATTATTTTAACTGATATTCTTTTCATTTTTTTCTTTAGTATAAAGACAAAACACTAATTCCTTCTCCTTTCTTCATTCCCATAAAATACGTATGATGGGAGAAAAATTTCTGCTCCAGAAAAGAAATCCATGACCCTGTCTGGGTAAGAATCCTGTATTAGTCCATTTTCACACTGCTATAACTACCTGAGACTGGATAATTTATAAACAAAAGAGGTATAATTGACTCACAGTTCCCCATGGTTGGGGAGGCCTCAGGAAACTTACAATCATGGTGGAAGGCGGAGGGAAAGCAAGGATATTCTTCCCATGGCAGCAGGAGAGAGAGGGAGTGCGGGGGAAACCACCACTTTTAAAACCACTGGATCTCATGAGAACTCCCTCACTATCAGGAGAACAACACAGGGGAAATTCCCCCCATGATCTAATCACCTCCTACGAGGTCCCTCCTTTCACATATGGGAATTACAATTCAAGATGAAATTTGGGTGGGGATACAGAGCAAAACCATATCAAATCCCCTGCCAGGCACTTTTTCTACATGGAATGTACACGTCTGCATTTGGCAATCAGAATATTAAAAGTTGGGAGAAGTCTGTATTTCTTTATTTTTTAATTAAAAAACAGATTCATGCTCTGATCTGGTCAGCATATGATCTCTTATATAATCTTGCAGCTAGACACTAAACACCTGTGCAAACGCTTCTCCCAGGATTTGGTCTACTCTGCCTGAGCAGGGTAAGTAAAAAATTCTTTGTATTGACCCAGTCAGCTCCTAAAAGCAGAATCTTCACTTGGTATTTCATTTGAAGTATTTCACTTGCCTTTTGAACATTTAAGTAGAGAGGAATGTATGTGACGGGAAAACAACTAAAAAGAAAAGTATCATGTTCTCTGCTCCCACGCAACACAGCAGCCACAAGAGTCACCAGCACAGGAACTGAGGGAAAGTTCCAAGAGGAAGGAATTAAGGAAGAAGGAGGTGGGAGGAGGAAACAGGGTATAGGAAGAAAAGGAGAACTTGGTGGATTCCAAGAAACACAATCCCCTGCTGAAACAGACCATAAGATACCACCAGCCCTCTGAGATTATAGGACATCCTCAGAGGCTATAGCTAAAATCTTCAGCAGCCTTTGGGCAATCACCATTACATACTTCAGCTGAGCTCTGAATGTCAAGGAGCAGAGAGGCAAAGAACTGGGAAGATAGTTTGCTCACCAAAAAATATGGCAAGTGCCAAGGGCCTCAGGCTGGCATGTGTGGGAAGTCTGAGTGAACCCGTGTGGCTGAAGAATGGCAAGATGAGGTCAGAGGTTAGTAAGGCCAGATACCACAGGGCTACAGGGTCTTCTAGGCCATTGAAAAGACCTTGGACTTTATTCTTGGTGCCATAGAAACCTCTGGATGGTTTATAATTGGTTTTTGAGACAGGTCTGTATCATTTAATTTTCACAAATCAAAGTATTAAGTCTATAATAGATTAAACGACACTCACATTCCTTAACATGGTCCACAGAGCCCTGCATCTCATGGCCTCCACCTCACCAAACTCACCTTCTTCACCTGCTCCTGCTCCAGGGCTCTGAGGTCTTAATGCATCTGTTCCTGCCATTCAGAATATTCTCCCTAGAGCTCCCCACCCTGACACATATGAATACCCCGACACTAACTCTCTCTCCAGTGCCCTCTCACCTGTTCCTTTCTGTTTAAATGTCATCTTCTCAGAACTCTTTTCTGGTTCCTTGGTCTAAAGTCAGTTCTTCCCGTCCCTCCCCACAGCACCCTGTTCTTTCCTTCACAGCATTAATGACAATGACAAGTATAAATTTACTGAGTGTCTGCCTTTCCCACTAGACAGTTTTGAGAGAGTAGAAAACATGTCTGTTTTGTTCATGACTGTATATGGAGTACTTGATAAATATCTGATAAATAGATACATAAAACAATACATAATAAAACAAAAGTTGGTTATTTGAAAAGATCATCTAAATTGACAAACTTTTAGACTGACCAAGAAAAAAATAGAAGATTTAAATAACTAAAATAAAGGATGAAAGAAGTGACAATACCACCAATCTTACCAAATAAAAAGCATGGGTGAATCTATGAACAACTGTATGTCAACAACTTAGATACTTCAGATGAAATGGACAAATTACTAAAAGGTACAAATTACCACAACTGATTCAACAAAAAATACAAAATCAACAGACCTATAGGAAGAGATTGAATTGGTAATTTAAAAGCTTCTCACCAAGAAAAACCTAGACCACATGGCTTCTCTAGTGAATTCTATCAATCATTCAAAGAAAAATCAATACCAATCATCCACAAACTCTTCCAAAAATTAGAAGAGAAGGAAACACTTCCTAACTCCATGAGACCAGTACAAACCTGATACCAAAACTAACCAACAATATCCCAAGAAAAGAAAGCTACAGACCACAACTTTTGTGAATAAAGATGCAGAAATCCTCAACAAAATATGCCTGAGTAAACTCTATACAAATAAGACACAGTTAACATCATACATAATGGTGAAAGACTAAATACTTTCTAAGATTAGGAGTAGGACAAGGATGTCTACTCTCACCACTTTTATTCAGTGTTGGACTGGAGGTTCTAGCCAGGGTAATTAGGCAAGCGAATGAAATAAAAGGCATTCCAAGTAGAAAGAAGCCGTAAGATGTCAATAGTGTTTTTCTTTTTTGAAAAAGGTAATATAATAATATAATGTGTTAACTGCTTACAGTACTTGGCAGGCATTCAATAACAACTGGCTATTATGTTCATATAATGACATTTTCTCTTCCTAAATGTTTGTTGTGCTATGAAACCAGGTTAAGATATGACTGTGAGAAGACAGAGGAAAGACCTATCTTTGGGAATTGGTACCTGGGCATTAAGAGCCTTTCCAAAATAAAATATTTATATGTACTGCGCTTATAGGAATTTACTTGTAGCTCAGAGTGATAGCAAATTATGTTGTTTATCCTTATTAAGACTCAATCACCTGATGACTTTGCAACTGTAAAATGCAAAACCGGGACCTTTAAGAGCAAAAGGCATTCTGTTTCCATGGCCAGCAACTCCCACAATGCACTAGGAGCAGATGGGTTCAAAAAGCAGAAACCACGTACTCACATTCCTCAAGACGGGGAGTGCCAAGTGCTCAAAAGAAGTCATGTCAACCACATACTGCCCAACTCGGCATTCACGTTTTCCAGGTGGAGGCTCTAACCTGAAGGAAAAGACATTGTGTTCTTTGTTGAAAAACTCCTGTATTGATTTCTGGTTTTTAGCTGCTCCACTGAGCCTCTGGCATTCCACATACGCTAAATCATCCTTAAAAATGAAAAACACAAAATGCGGTGGTCTGCTGCCGAGACCAGCTCGGTCGGGGAGACCCTAACCCAGCGGTGCTAGAGGAATTAAACACACACAGAAATATAGAGGTGGGGAGTGGGAAATCAGGGGTCTCACAGCCTTCAGAGCTGAGAGCCTCGAACAGAGATTTACCCACATATTTATTAACAGCAAGTCAGTGATAAGCATTGTTTCTATAGATTATAGATTAACTACAAGTATTCCCTATGGGAAATAAAGGGATGGGCCGAAATAAAGGGATGGGCTCTGGCTAGTTATCTGCAGCAGGAGCATGTCCTTAAGACACAGATCGCTCTTGCTATTGTTTGGGGTTTAAGAACGCCTTTAAGGGGTTTTCCGCTCGGGATGGGTCAGGTGTTCCTTGCCCTCATTCTGGTAAACCCACAATCTTCCAGCGTGGGCGTCATGGCCATCATGAACATGTCACAGTGCTGCAGAGATTTTGTTTATGGCCAGTTTTGGGGCCAGTTTATGGCCAGATTTGGGGGGGCCTGTTTCCAACAGTCTGCAAAGCTGATCAGGTTTTCTCTGCTTTGAACAGAGCTACCCTAAGTGTCCACACCTCCAACAATGGGCCTTGCAGTTACGGCAGGGCTCTCTCTTAAGGTCCAAGCAGCTACTACATCAACAGTCTTCGAAAAGTGGCACCAGAAACAGGACTAAGAATTATAAAGTGAGAGGAGTTTATGACTTGGTGAATAAGTTTTAAGTAAAATATCACTTTCTTATACGTTTTTCATGTGATGGTTTCATTCTGTTTTCTGTCTCTGAGAAATCCCTAAAGGCCCAAGATTCTTGAGGATAGATGGGATCATTGGGCTCAACCCTGTGCCCAGGGAGAAACTCTCAGTCTAAAGGGAAAGCAGATAGGCATCCAAGGACCCAACAGAGTATCTGCTTTCGGTGAATTTAGCTCTTGTTGAAAAGCTCCCAAAGCACAGATGGGAAGGGGAGGTTAGATAATAAAACACCACAGAAATGAAAAATCAGTACCCAACTCTCGATAAAGGCCCCCGGGTGCCGGACAGCGTGACGACATCGAATCCTATTCTTCTCCCTCCCTGTCTGACTTCTTCTGTATAAAATCCATCGACAGGCACACCAGAGGATTTTAAAACCTCACTGGCTTTCTGGATCAATGTTGTTTTTCCAACCCCTAAAATAAAAAAAAAAAAAGAAGAAGAAAAGCCCATTAGGAAACATTCCCTTACTAGAGCACACACAGCCCTTGCGGACTCTGAGACAGCAATTACGCTGGGTAGAGAAATGGACTGTAAGTGGATTTATGAATATGAACTTCAATTTAATTTTGATTGCTCCAGGTGTTAAAAATGCTTAATTTCAAGTAGAAACAAGCATAATAAAAACAAGGATGATATCTTGAGGTTTATTTTTAAATTGTGAAACACTGTTAATTTTGTCACATACACAATCCCAGAATCAACTGAGTGGTTCCTGATGATATTCTCACGTGCCATTTGCATCCTGTGAAATGGTTTACAGTTTCCATTTTTCTGCCCAGGAAGTAACACTGCTCACACTTGAGTCAGGGGCTGGGAATTTAAGATTTCAGCTTTCAAGAGATTACAAATGGACCTACACTTAACAGTGGGAAAATCAATTTGTTCCTCCTTGGACTTATATTGCTGTAACTCCTGAAAATGTGTCTCTTAAATACCATTAGCATCCCTGTTAATGGTCACTTTCAAACTTTTTCATAACAGCAAGCCTATCAGGTTAGCAACTCCTTCCAACATCATCTTCTCTAGGGTCTGTAAGCATTTCTTCACCTTTATCCCCCACACCTTCCCCAATTTGAACCTATGCACCTCCGCCCCCTTATCCTCCCCACCTTGATCCTTCCTTTCCATCCAGCCTGGCCAGCTGACTACTCTGATGAACTCATGGGTTTATAAGCACCAACAGGTGCTACCGAATACAGTAATACTAATCACTGACATTATGGGGCCAGACACTGTTCTAGCACACTTCGGAAGCATTTTCTTGAGCACACTTCGGAAGCATTTTCTTGGTTAAGTCCTCACAACCATCCTCGGAGGCAATTACCATGTTTATGCATATTTTACAGATGAAGAAACTGAGGCACACAGTGGTTAGGTATTTTACCCAAGGCTATACCCCTCATAAGGACCACACCTTCAACATGGGCCTTTACCTGTCACCATGACTTTTTAAAATATGAGTCTTGCTCCCAATATGGATTTAAGTAAATGGCATCATGACTACCCTACAACGGGAAGAGAGAGAAAACTCCTAGCATGTCTGCAAGGGAGCTATTTTGAGATACTACAGAGTTGCAAATCATGCTATTTCTAAGACTACCCACTCTTTTAAACCTCCTTGACATAAAATATGATCCATTATTCTTATTTAAAGTATCTATCTTCACACTTCACATTAAAATAATGGCACCTGGCTTTCTGGAACGTGAACAGCAACCCAAGAGGATTCTGGCTACAGTGAGCCACAGTGAGCATGCGGCTGGTAGAACTGTGGAGAACATAAAATGATGAAATTCTAATCCAGCCCTGGCCCTCAGTAACAACTGCCTTAGGAAAGTCACTGAAGAATCTGTTTCATGCAAGTAATGGCACTGCTGAATGTGTAAGCTGGTACTCCTTTTCTGAAGGGCAATTTCAATGTGCCTACCACAGCACCCTGCAGTTCATGACCAGGAATTCATCCTCAGGAAACAACATCAACAGTACAAAATGTGTGAAACAGGACATTCACTGCAACGTTCTTTGTAATAGCATAACACTGAAAACAACCTAAATGTTGATTAGTAAGAGAATGTTAACTCATGGCACCACGCATACAATAGCACATAAATACACAGGAATACCATGCAGCCATTAAAAAACATACTGCTTATGTGTATTTATTAGCATGGAAAATAGACCACAGTGTATGAAAATAATATATGAAAAAAGCAGGTTAATAGCAGAAACCATTCCATTATGTTTTTTTAAAAAATGGTCAAGTACGTATGTGTCTACAGAAAAAAAAAATATCAAGAATACAGAACAAAGATTTACAACGTTCATTTCTGTATGTTGAAATTCCCTGTGATTGTCACTTTCTTCCTTAAAACATTTTTTTTTTTTTAATTCTTATACTGAATGGTTCTTACTCTTATCCTAACAAAAAACGCTGTTTATATTTTGAAAAAGGTAAAATGGAGCAATGGTAACTATTCCTGTTCACAAAGGGTATACTCTGGGGACTGTATGTTGTGTAGAACATAGTACACCAATAAATAGGAAGCATTAGGGCAAAGTCCCTTTCGGCTTCTTCAGCTCTAGGAATCTTCTTTCAGTTAATTTTTTCTTCATTAGTTAAGCTGCTACCCCAGTGCTGTCTGGATAAGAAATGACCTCAGCTTCAGGAGACCTCGAGATAGTAGCTGTATACCAGGCACAAACAGATCAGAAAGCTCTGGAATTATTTTGGTTCTGGTTCTCCCCTAAGCAAATCCTCAGATAAAGATTCAAGTGCAGGTAGTTTAACCTGGGCAGTGACAACATGATGGACTGGTAGGGAAGAAATTCAGAAAGGGAAGGGAAGGACACCAGCATGAGGTGCACTATCAAGCAAGTTCCACTGGGGGCAGCTGGAGCTTCATCCCACTGGGGAATCCTAAGGGACAAGTCAGGGCAAGTGGCTCAGTTATCCTGTCTGAGGAGTGAGGAAGTAGGGAATTTATCAACTAACTTTCACCAATCACCGGTTGAGGGCTAATCCCAGTGCACAGGAATTCCCCGGCTCTTCTGGCCTGCTCTGTGTGCAGGCCAAGTGGGCTCCAGGGACCAGAGAAAGCCCTCCAAGATGAGTCACAGGTACAGACAGTTGGAAATCGGAAAAAATGCTAAGTGCCAGGGACACTAAGAGGATATGCAACGAAAAGTGACCTCTTTGCGAGGAGACTTTACCTGATGGTCTGAATATGTTGAGAAGGCAGAAAGAAACTAGGCAAATAAAAATACCAGACAATAACTCCTAATGGGGAAAAACAGTTGTGCATAAAAGGAAAAAAAAGAAAAATTAGAGGGCATGGGGGTTCATGCCTGTAGTACTAGCTACTAGGGAGGCTGAGGTGGGAAGATGGTTTGAGTCTGGGAGGTGGAGGCTGCAATGAGCCAAGATTGTGTCACTGCACTCCAACCTGGGCAACAGAGAGAGAGCCTGTCTCAAAAAAAAAAAAAAAAAGAAGAAGAAGGGAAAGAAAGATGGGTAAGGTGGCTCACACTTATAATCCCAGTATTTTGGGAGACCCAGGTGGGAGGATCATTTGAGGCTAGGAGTTGGAGATCAGCCTGGGTAACATAACAAGAGACAGGTCTCTACAAAAAAACAAAAATTGCCTGGGTGTGGTGACATGCGCTTCTAGTCCCAGCTACTCAGGAGGTTGAAGCGGGAGGATCACTTAAGCCTAGGGAGTTTGAGAATGCAGTGAGCTTTAATTGTTTCACTGCACTCCAGCCTGGGTGATAGAGCAAGATCCTGTCTCTAAAATAAATAAATAAATGGAAGATAAACGATCGATTATTATGTGGCTCTGTTGTGATTATCTTTACATGGCCATAATACTATAAACATTGACTAATGTAAGTTACGTTGTAACTACATTAAGACGAGGAGGAGAAAAGACAAAGGTGTGTGAATTTGAGGACAGGTTTAAGAGAGCTACACTGTAGAATCTGAGTCTTTCAACTACGTGTAGATAAGACTTTGATAAAGAAAGGAGAAGCAAGAACCACCACCAACCAATACAATCACGGTAACAGGACACCCCCATTATAAAACACACAGATGCCTTGGGGTCAACCTGCTGAGTATCAAACTGCATTCCAAGTTTCAAATAAAGGACCGACAAAACAACTTTCAGAAAACAGTTCTTTGCAGTACTTAGGAGTGACTTTAGATAGCAGGCATTTCTCAAACCACCCTCCTCCTCCTCCTCACCCTCTGCTCCCCATCTCCCCCATCCAATGCCTGATAAAATTCCAAAGTCTGCAATATTAGCTGTAGTCTTTGCTGCTTACGGCTAAACATAATCATTAAAATAAAGTGAAAGAGAATTCTAGATCCAGGGTTACGGCCTTTGATACCTGAACCCACAATAAACTTCAAAATTAGATTTGCCTTAAAAAGCAGCTGAAATCACTCTCTCCACTCTTAGCACGTCTTTCTTGTTTTTAGCCTATCTGATGCGACCACCACCATCCTACCTGTCCTTTTTAGTAATGCTTGATAAATGGGTCGCGCCTTGATTTAAAAGCATCTCCTCGTACACCTCTCATCTGACCTCAACGCTATCCCACTTCTCAGATGAGAACTCCACAGGCCACAGGGTTGAGGGATCTGACAGACGTCAGGAGGGGACAGCGACAGGAACAAGCAAGAGTGTCTAAGAAGGGCTCCTGTAGGTACCAAAGCTTCTCCACCTGCGGCCTCAGCTGTGGTGGGAATTCGTGGGGATGGAGACGGGGATGGGGGTGGGGGGATGAACTCAGATGGGAAAGAAAGGTTACAACTTCAGCTTTGCTCTCCTCCAACTAAAATTTACCATGTTTTTGCACGACGAATGTAGCAAAGACCCACAGTAAGGAAGTACCTGTGACTACCAATAGAAATCAGACATCACTTCACATCACGGTTGCTGCAGATCTCTTGAAATACCATTTGTGCAGACCACAACGTCAACACTAAAGTAAGGAGTTACCGCTGCCGCTGGCCCCTGCGGTTTCAGCCCTTCATCAAGAAGCCGGCCTACGACCCCTCACAAGTGTGTTCTAATCCTTTAGGCCCTACGTCTTTTAAATCACATTTTCCAGGAAGGAGTACAAACTCTTCAGACTACCAAGCCCGCCATTTAAATTGGGAACTTCAGAGGCCGGAGCCCTGGAGCCGGGGTCCGTCCCCGACAGCACAGGGTCGCCCTCAGCCCGCGCGCCCTCTCGGAGGTGGGGATCCCCGCAGGGTTACCTGGGGGCCCTGTTAGGAACACGTGCCGGGCCATGCGGGGGCGAGGGTAGGGGTTGCGGTCAGGGTACCAGTCCGGGTTGGGGTCGCTACTCAGCTCAGGTCCGGACTAGGGTCGCGATTCAGGACCCGCCCACCGCGTGTCGCAGGCCCCGCCCCCAAGCGGTACTTCGACCGGAAGCACCGCCCTCAAGACCACGCATGCGCCTTCTACCACGTCCTCGATCCGCGCCTGCGTACTCAACCCTCGGCATTTCTGCCTCTGCGGCGGCAGTTCCTAAAAGCGGAGCGGGTTGTGCGGTCTCTTAAGTTTCATCCTGGGTTCCGAGCTTTTGTCGGGTATTTGCAGAGATAAGTGCATGAGAACGTCAGTTATTAAACTGTTGCTGCTTCAAGTGAGCGCCATCACCCAGGTTCTGCCCCTTGCCTCCGGACCTAGGAGCTGAAATTGCCCAAGGCTGCGGGGACAGCCCTTTTGTAGAAGATTTGTGACCTGGAAGCATTCCTCAAAGGGGGATGCCATGTTAATGACTCCAACCTTGTTCTCAGCCATTCCTGCAGAATAGAATCAGCTGGGGAGTTTTAAACTTGTTCTGATGCCTGGGTTTCACCTGCAGTAACAAGGAATGTCTTCTGACAAAATTACAAGTTTAGTTTAAAGATCTAATTGGCTTATATTTAGGATCTAGAATCGGAAATAGATCATTCCATTAAAGCAAGTAGAGTGTTCCAGTAAGCTGCGCAGAGGAGGCTGGCTTTATGGGCAAAAAAAGGCTGAAGAAAAAAACAACAACGAGTGGGTATTTCAAAGTTACTTTCCTTATAGGGTTAAAACAGATTGGACTTCGTTATTGTACTGACTCAGGTTGATTAAAATCTCCTGGTTTTTGGGAAAACTGGCCTGTTTCAAAGTTCAGTTTGGTTACATGGCACTTGGCACAAGTGACTCGATTCTGGTTTGGTCTAGTCTGCTAGGGCCAGTCCAAAACAATGACCTCCCATATATCTTGTTTAACATGAGTAATTGGTCTTGGGCGAGTCCTGAGCATCTGTATTCTTTTTCTTCTTTCTAAACTCCAGGAAGTTCCTGAAGTGCGCTAGGGTTGAGAACTACTGGTGTAGGCAGACTTCCCGTCCTCAGCCATGCATGGGAAGCCTAGTTTTCCCTCTTTGCCTTCATACCAAAGTGTATAAAAGTCTCTTGCAAAGAATTAAATAGCTTCTCCGTCTTACTTTACTACTGCAAGCGTTCCAGCCAACGAATGACGTGGCAGTGGCCTTGGGCCACATTTACCTGTAAACTCTTTCAGTCTAACATGTGTACAGCTTAATTTGTGGTCAGTCATTCCCCATCCTGGCTGAGAAAGCAATTCAGTGAGTGTTCAACTTAATTGATTTCTGCCCACACGTGGACCTCCTGGTTTCCCTTTAGCCTGAGACTTATACCAGTCCAATGATTATCTAAAAAAACAAAGTCGGATTGTAAAATACAGCTGTCATCACCATTTCTGCAACACTTGTAATGCTATATTATTATAACAGTATACTATTTATTATCCCAGCTAGTAATGTAGGGTCTTCCACCTTGATTTATTTTGCACTCCATGCATATTGAATACAATGAAAAGCTGATATAGTAAGGTAAATCCATAGGAGGAGCTTCCAAAAAAAAAAAAGGAAAAAGAAAGAGTATATCTCTTGTATCAAAAATATTAATTTTAAGTGTTAATCATATGGCATTTTCCATCACTGAAAGGTAGTTTGGATTTGCAAGGCTCTCTTTAAGTTGGGTTATTTTGTTTTGATGCTGTGCCTGGAATTCTGGCATCAGTTTAAATAGCTCAAAGATACATGGACTCCAGATATAGTGAATCGGTGTCTCACAAAACCGAAAAAAAGACTTCATAGATGAGTGTTCTTTATCCATGGAAAATGAATTATTTGGATGTTGGTTACATGGATATCTTCATGTTAGAAAATTCATCGATTTGATGCTTAATTTCTACAGTTTCCTGTATGCGTTATTGGGCAACAATAACAACAAATTAAATAGCTTATATCCCTTAGAGATTAACAACAAAAGAAGATGACATAAATGGAAACAAATTTTAAAATAAATGGGATCTTAAAGTACTGTACCATACTGAATCCAACTTTTGCTTCTTATCAACATCCAATGGACGAATGTTTGTGTCTCCCCAAAATTCTTATTGTTGAAATTCTAACCCACAAGGTGAAGGTATTAAAGTGTGGGGCCTTAGGGAAGCAATTAGGTAATCAGGTCATGAGGGTGGAGCCCTCATGAATGTGATTAGTGCCCTTACAAAAAGGAGAAACTTGCTTTCTCTCTGCTCTCTGCCATGTGAAGATGCAAGAAGACTGCTCTCTGTCAATCAAGATGAGGGCCTTCCCTAAGAACCCAATAATGTTGCCACCCTGATCTTAAACTTCAGCCTCCAGAGTTGCAAGAAGTAAATGTTTTTTTGTTTTTGTTTTTGTTTGTTTGTTTGTTTAAGCCACCCATCTGTGGTACTCTGTTATGGTAGCCTGAGCTAACACACAAGGTAGAATTACCTAAGAAACAAGTGGTTCTAATGATTTCTTCCTGCAACACCTGGGTGCAGCCTCACTTTTGACAGGATGCAGTGCAGTTCTTTATTAAAGCAGTTTGTAGGTACAACTCTACAGTCTCTATGGTTATAAAATACCCTAAAGTCCAAAAAACACTGTTTATTTTGTTTTCATATCTACCCGTTTCCCAGAACTGTCCTAATTTTTAAACTGCAAATTCTGTGTCTTAGAAAGCCCCTCAGTCCCAAGCAAACCGGGATGAATGGTCATCAAACTGTTAAAGGAACACTTGGGAAGTAGTGCAAAAGGTTTCATGTGGTTAAACAAGGTATTTCCTTCTTACAGACAAGTCAAAGGCTAATAATACTTTATTGTAAGCTGGTTGTCTTGTCAGCTGTGGTTATAGAATGAGTGTTTAATGCAGTCTGTACCTAACGTCTGAGCCATTCATACCCTGAGTTCTAATCCCTGTGCAGAACAATGTTCTATCCTGCCAGTAACCCAGTAGGACAGAAGCAGAGATGACTCTACACCCTCACCCCACCCCTTCCTGCAGCGCATGCCTGGATGTCCCCCACGCCCAACTGCTACTGGCATCCGGTGGCATCTTCCTGGCTGGACACAGAATGAGAGTTCTGGCATATTTAGGATACGGTTTCCTAAGTACAGGAAAACTGAAAACAGAACAAATAAAAAGTATGGATGTGAAAACAACAAAGTGGGAAGAGAGACTGTTGTGTTGTTTGGTCAGCCCACTGTTCATTTCACTGTATGGAAATAGCAGCTAAATTCTCCTTTTAGGAACCCCTTTTCTCCCAGGCTCTGTGATTGAAAGGAGTGAACCTCCCTCCTCTTCTCATTCTCCAAGGGGAATACATGACCCAAGCCTGGTCAATGAGATCATTCTGTCTTCCCAGCCTCAGTAATTGACTCTGAAGAAGCACATGATCCGGGCAACACATCCACCCCTAGCCAGTGGGGATCAAAGACAGCCACCATCCACCATGACTGAAGCAGAGGGACAAGGGGAAGTGAGAGGGGGTGTAAGAGGCCTCCCCTCCCACTCTCCCCAGTCACCCCTTACTATCCTCCAGAATGGGCTCAACTGTTACTGCTTCCCAAGCCTTTTGTGATTCTCCAGGCCCAGCCCCTGCTTCCTTGGCCTTCCCTTACAGCAACCCCCTGATTGCTGGCATCTACCTCTTCTGCCACCCAGTTACGAATTCCTCCAAAAGCAAGAATCTAGGCTGGGTGCAGTAGCTCATGCCTGTAATCCCAGCACTTTGGGAGGCCAAGGCGGGCAGATCGCTTGAGGTCTAGAGTTCCAGACTGGCCTGGCCAACAAAGTGAAACCCCTTCTCTACTAAAAATACAAAAATTAGCCAGGTGTGGTGGTGGCCACCTGTAATCCCAGCTACTTGAGAGGCTGAGGCAGGAGAATCATTCGAACCCACGAGGCGGAAGTTGCAGTGAGCCGAGATTGCACCACTGCACTCCAGCCTGAGGAACAGAGTGGAGACTCCACCTCAAAAAAAAAAAAAAAAAAAAAATTCAAATCTAAAGAATTTTGCGCTATTCATCTATACCCAGAATATAGCATGGTACTTATAGCACATGCATCCATCACTCTGCCAGGAAATGTTGTACATTCTGGAGATACAGCAGCAAAGAAGAGACAGTCTCTGTGCTGGTATAGCTTATATTCTGGTGGGAGACACAAACAGATACACAAGTACATAAATAAAATGTCACAGAGTGGTAAGGCCATGCAGGAAAAATAAAAGGATGGGAAATGAAAAGGGAAGTGGATGTGCTACTCCATAGAAGGTGGTCGGGGAAGATATTACTGAGAATACAGCAACTGAGCAGGGAGCTGAAGAAGCAAGTCCTGCGGGTGTCATGGGGATTGTGGTCTAGATTGGCATATGCAGAGGTCATGACGTAGGAATAGGTGGCCTGAGGAGGAACCAAGCAATCCAGTGTGGCTGGAGCAGAGTAGGAGAGACAGATTCATAGAAGATGAGGTCAGAGGAGCTGCAGGGGGCCAGATAGTTCAGCCTTATAGACCATGGTAAGGACTCTAGCTTTTACTGTAACAGAGCTAGAAAGCCATTAGAGGGTTTTGACCAGTAGAATGGCATTGTGTAAATTTTTTAAAAGGATCATCAGGCACGTGTGCAGGAAATAGACTACAGAAAGGCAAGGGTAGAAGCAGGAAGACCAATCTGAATGCTACTGTAATAATCCAGCTGCTACAGAAATAATGTTTGTGCATTTACTGGCACATGCTTATCATAGGTGCTCAACTGATATTTTCTTTTGCACATGAATGGATAAATGAATGGTATCCCCATAGACAGCATCGGACTGTCAGGGAAGACAAAGAGCAGGGGCAGAGCAGCAGGAAAGTCCTACAGGCTTTCCCATCTTTAAAGGATAGGTGGTACATTGAGGTAACCATCCGATAATCATCCTTGGGTGATGTCCCCATGGGATAGGCATAAGACTTTGCTTGACCAAGCAAGTTGGGCAGGTCACTCATCTACCAGGTGTTCCCCTTCTAATAAGAATAACTGGGCCAGGCGCAGTGGCTCACACCTGTAATCCCAGTGCTCTGGGAGGCCGAGGCAGGTGGATCA